CCCCAGAAACCCGGCCAAACCCACCCAACACGTCACTAAAATTCAAAACAACTTCCAAATCACTCCCGAATGCAAATCCGCGGTCCCATATCCAGCGTAGCAGGCGCATTTCCTACATATTGTCCGCACATGGCAACCACGCATGGCAGGGGGACTGAATTTGATAAACTGAAGTTGTGGATGAGTTGAGAACATTTCCTGAAACTTTCAGCTTCGCAGCTTTCTTGGTTCCCGAGCTAGCGGTTTTCGCGCCAGGAACCCTCACGGGTTTCAGAGCGTTAACACCTACTTAGACGGGGAATATCCCCTTAAGTTTTCAGCGCTCTAGCTTCTCAGATCCCCGAGTTATGAACTTACGCCAGAAAAACTTTGGCAGGCCTTTACGCGCTTCCCGGGGGATCTTAAAAATCACCGGCAAATTGATGAACCTTAAGCACGGAATGCGCCAAATTTTACTGCTGTAGATTAAACTAAAGTTGCGTCCGCTAAAATGTGACATCCCATAGCATTTTTGACAATATTTGACGCATCCTGATCTCGGGACGCACTTCACCACCACGGATTTGGATGTGCATGGGGCTATTGGCATTTGTTTTGCTATATGCTTTTTGCATCTATGCAATGCAAAAACGCATATTGTCAAGGGTTGTCTCTCTGCGTGTGTCTGTATCTGTAAGTGTGCCTGTACCGATCTCGAGACCCAGAAAAACTACAAAGCTGGAACTTTGACAACTTAATCTACACGCGTGTATAGGCCCTTATTCCCAAAATGGACGCTCTTGCCCACGTGATTCCCACCTACGGGCCTGTAAAAATTTTTTATGTGTAAGTTGCTAAACCGGGAACGTGAAAAGCTAAAAAGCTGAAATTGCAAGAGGATGTTCCCCGTCCTCGTAGAGCTTAATGAATTTAAACCTAGACCTAGGTATGCGTGGTTCCTACATACAGGCCCGTGGAAATTTTTGATGAGTAAGTTGCTAACTAGGGAACCTGAGAAGCTAGAAAGCTGAAATTTTAAGGGAATGTTTTTCCACAGTCGTAATGGCAGTCTCAATTCTTTTAGCTAGAAGCATCAGCCGGAAAAAATAGTGCCGTTAGTGACAAAAACTTGTGCGGAACTGTGCAAAAAACGCATCTTCGCACCGCCAGTCACTGCGCTGGCCAATTATTATGCGTTTTGTGCTGTGTAACAGCAGTACAAAACGCATATTGTCAAGGGGTTGTTTGTGTGTGTGTTTGTATGTGTGTGTCCGCAGCAACTTGTCCGCAACTTCCAATTCGGGAACCACAAAAGCTAAGAAGCTGAAAATTTAGGGGGACGTTCCTACCCACGTGTGACCCCGCAAATTTAAATTCAGCTTCTCCGTGCCCGCGGGTGACATGTACGGCCCCGTGAAAGTTTTTTACGGGTAAATTAATATCTCAGGAACTACGGAGTCTAGGAGGCTAAAATTTTACGGTAATGACCCACTGCCCACGCACAACCTTGCCCATTCAAATTCAGCCTTCCCTTACCCGGGGGTAAGACGGACGGCCCCGTGAAAGTTTTTTACGGGTAAATTAATATCTCGAGAACCACGAAGTCTAGGACGCTGAAATTTTAGGGTAATGACCCCCTGCCCGCGCTCAACCTTGCCTATTCAAATTCAGCGTTCCCGCGCACTTGAATATCACCTATAGCCTCGTGAAAATTCTGGCAGGTAA